CGTGGATGAGCACCTTGCCTCACTTGCAGGAGGCAAGGTATATACATGCTCGGACCATTGGATTAGCTCCATGTCCGAGTAGATGGGCCAATGGGATCGGATCTAGGCCAGAATGGGCTGGCACATTCGTATACTTACGCCCAATCTTGTCCACTACCATTAACTACTACTCTGCTATTGGAGAACTGTTTGCTAGTATCACTGAATAACGAGCTCAAAATATTGTGGTGCCCACGAACAGTAATAGAACAAACACATGCCAAGGTAACAGTAACTAGACCTACTTTTCCAAACTAACGACTTAGATCTATCAAAGGTGGAATCAAACGCCTAACATTCACCAAGTGGGAAGGGCCTGAGGATGTGCCGTATCCATTCGGTTTAAAGGCTTTAGAGGAAATATAAGATGTTAAATTACGAGACTATATAATGGTATATAGTGCCTTTTATAAATTAAAGGCTTTAGACTTTAGAGCCATCATGCAATTTCAGGTTTAGAATAAAATTTGTAATATTTTCCTTGCACGTGGGACCACTTGCCAATGGTTTATCCCACTTTTTATCTTCTCAAAAACCCTAGCGAAAGCCGGCCGCTCACGTCCTGCGGATACCTCATATTTGAAACCTTAAATCCATACAAAAGCATGCAAATGAGGAAATCGTACGTAGATCAACCTATACTACCCTAATCCTTGTCGGAGATGTCCACTATCTCCGTGCCCGGCTCCGGATACATGGACGACAGCTACAACTACGGCTCCTTCGCCTCAAATTCGGCGAAAAGAGTGTAAGTGGCCGCCCGTTCCTGCCAGATGAACTGCCGGTTGGCCTCAACATAGGCCTCATTCTGGATATGGACTTTAGGATGGCCTACTGCTTCGCCGTATCCGCCGCTTGGGTGACCACGAACTCTGCCATGGTGTCCTCCATGCCAAAGCCCGCAGTCGGCACCAGATCATCCTCCGGCTGCTCCACCTCGTTCTCCTTCGGATCCGCCACCTCCATTGGAACCGGCTCCTCCTCCTGCTCCTCCAACTCCGACGAGTTTGGAGGCAAGCTGACTGCGATGCGGGTGGCACGCCTCACCCGAATCTCCTCCTCGGTCTAGAACCGGCTCTCCGACATGAGCTAGCATACGACGTCTTCTTTTGTCGGGCCATGGCGTAGCCGGACGGCATGGGAAGAGTGGTGGAGCAGGAGAGAAGTGGATGGGCTCGGGCTAGCGGCACAGAGAGGGAGGTGGTGGATGTAGCTAGGGTTAGGGGACGTCGTCGGGCTTAAATAGCCGGATTTGGCCTTGGGTGGCGAGCTAGAGCTATGCCACATGGTGTTCATACACCAACTGGAGGAGACGCCAGTCGAATTGTTGGGTCTCTAGGCTATTTCATATGGGACCCCATTATCAATCTGACATGGCAGACGCGTCCGGGCTTTCTCATATCTGTCCCATATTTGGGTTGGATATGAGGGGTGCCGGTCAAGCCGGATGTTTGGGCCGTCTGTCCAGGCATTTGAGGGGGGGGGTGTCCAGCGGTAGATGCTCTAAGCACTGTTTTGTTTTCTAAGGCTTGAACGACTCTAATATATGGCCTTGACTTTGTGAAAAAAGAAGAGTAGGTAGCCGCAGCAATCTGAATTAATTTGGTGCAGATTTGGGTATCCGACGACATGGACGGGCTTTAATTCCAAGAACCGAAGAAGAGAACCGTACGGTTGTGCGTCCGTGTCACTTTCCGCCCTACGCGCCGGCGCCGCGCCCCATGAATAGTCGGCGAGCGGTGAGCAGAGTAGGTGACGCGGCAGGTTGGCGTCAATTTCAGTTGGACTCCACGCGGCCGACCCCATCCATGGAGACGAAACAGCACCGCACGGGCATACAGCTAGCAGCGCATGCACCCACGCCCCCATATATCTCTCACTCCTCCCTGCCGGAGCTCCCACCCGATCTCGGTCTGGGCCCGGCCTTCTCTTTTCTCCGGCTGTTCGATTGAGGAGGCCGGCCGGCGGCGCATATGGATCGCGGTGCTGATGAGCAGAAGGGCGGCGACGCGGCGGAGTGGAAGAAGGTGGCCGAGGCGCCGAGCTGAGGGCCGTGGCGGAGGCCCAGGACGCCGCTGCCAAGGTACGTACCATCTCCTTCCTCCTCCTCAACTTCTCTCGTCCACCAAGCATGTTCCCGTACGTGACTGCTTCATCACACCCAGCTAGCTTCTTGGTTCAGTTGGGTAGTCTCCTCCCACCTCTCCCATAGACGATATATAGCAGCTCATCGTTTCCTCTCGAGTCCATCAGCCCATTCGGCCTCACGCACGGACTGACGAGATCACAGCTCGGCTTGTGTTGCAACTTCGAGTAGTACTCTATATGGCTAACCAGCGCACACCAAGCTATACTAGAGAGTACGTATTCAGGTCAGGAGACACGTAGTCGTAGGCGTGGACACCAGGTAATGAATCAAACGACTTTGCTCTGCGGAGGTTCCTACGGGCCCGTGACCACAACATCGACAAGGCGTCAGCGATGTTGCTCAAGTACTTGAACTGGAAACACACCGCCAAGCCACGCGGTTCCATCACCCATGATGAGGTGCACGGTGAGCTCGTACAGGAAAAGCTCTAGAGATAAATACACTAGTGGTCACTGAAGTAGAGGTTAAAGCACAATACGGTCACTGAACTTCATAATACGCTTAATACGGTCATAAAATATGAGTTGTGATGATTATACGGTCACTCTTCATCGTAAAGCTCTGTATTCTATCTGCATGGACCTGGTTGACTAGTCAAATAGCATTTTTTGGGCATCCAGTGAAGGTCCCATCTGTCAGGTGTCGAAATAAACAAATAAAAAGCAAAACCTAATCGCGCGGGTGAT